GTCAGACTCTTACTGACTAAAAACCACCCCGTTCCTTCTCCTGCACGTCGAGTCGGAGCCCCGGTTACCCGTTAGGTTCTCCGCGACATATTAGTTACCGATAAGCTGGCTAGTAGAGACTGCTAAGCAGTAATATTGGAAATTTTGCCCAAACACTGACTGGGTGTTGCACTCATAGAGTATCAGGGAAATTAAAGAAGTACAAACGAATAAATCCAATGTTAGTTCCGAAGTAACACGAAATAATCTAAAAGACTGCAACGTGAGGACACAATTACAATGTGTTGGCAGATAACTAACAAATACAACTTGAATGTCTTCGAGTCCTGAGTGAACAGAGGCCTTAGTACGAGTTTGTTTTACGTTTAAAGTAATCGTACGAGTACGCGTTCGGCGCTCTGATTGGTTGCTTCATTGGCTCCGGCCAATCAGAGTGCCGAACGCGTACTCGTTACGAACACTTTAAACGTAAATTAAACTTACTAAGGCCTCTGGTAGCTCATAGGTAGACGTGCTGCATCGTCGACCACATTATCGCTTACCACCAGGCAAAATAGTGGCCAACCAAGTATAAAACAAAACTTGTACGTAAGAGTAACCTACTTAGCAGCTATGATAACTCTTTAATTTCCACAGGTGATTGTAGAGGACTGCATGCTGACTGTGAACAAGTTTATCGCTGATGGCAAGAAGGTGGATTACATATTTGGGGATTTGACTGACATCCCTATCTCGGAGTCTGCGTGCGGAGAGCTCTGGGAGTTTATGATTACCATCCTTAACTCCTCATTCAAGATTCTCAAGCCCAACGGGAAGTTTATGACCCATGTATGTCTAGTCGTGAACGCTTTATAACTGATCACAGTGATCACAATCGAAAGATTTTGTAGATTGATTGATTTGTTGATGTTATTTGAATTCTGTCGAAAATCGTCGGTCGTTAGTGGAATTATTTGATCTACATAACACCTGTTATGCAGGCCACGCTCTAGATGTGTAATAATGTTATTATCGTCCAATTGTTTCCAGGGCAACGGCGCCACTTCCCCGGAATCTCTGGAGCTGTACGAGCAGGAACTTGCCAAGCTGAAGCCGCCGGTCAAATACACGAAGAGCAAAGCCTTCGTACCATCGTTTCTGGAAGACTGGTACTTCTACCACATATCCTTCGCAACCACCGACAACGGGGATGCTTAACACCACACCAAAGACATAAAAATATTCACATTTTTACTAAGTCATATTAATGCCATATTCCTAGGTATAAACACCACACATAATAAGTTAGAAGCAGTGTTCAGATTAAAGTGGAATCACACTATGATACCAAACAAAAATATTGATATGTTTCACATAAAAACTTTATGTGATTTCACTTTGACCTGGACAAAGCATATGGTTTCTATGAACGAAATTAAAGATGATTTTGTTAAGAAGTTATTTTTTATTATTAAAATTAATGTTTTCCTGAGTTGTAGACTTGATATACATTTGAGCAGCTCCGCCAATGACCCGAGGCCCGAGGTTGGCGCACCGTATGGTATTGAGGCAGCTAGTACGCCTGTAGCTTGTAAGAAATGTAGTCACACTACACAATTTTCCGTATTATTAGTTTTAGTTCGAAGTTTACTGTTATTTCTATTGATATGTGCTCGTTCCTTTATTTGTTTTATGAATATTAAAAGTATTTTAACGACTTGTGGTTTCAATTTTCATCCTTCTGTAATACCCATACACTACCATCATCTAAAAGAAGATTGCGTCATTGCAGTAGTCAATAGCAAGATATCGAAGACTGTAACCAGGAGTTATTAAAAGTTGAACCAATTAACTAAACTAGTAAAAAGTAGATTCGAATTAACTACTAAACCTTCAACAGAATAGTTTTTCTTTATCTAAGGGAGCTCTGTCTACCCATTACAAGGGCAAGGATAAGGCCACACGAAAGGTGAAGAAATAATTTTAGGTAATAAAATAATACCTATATAACAAAATAAAAGTAAATTCATTATTCATAACTTTATAAAGATAATTTACAAAAAATTACAAGACATTTATATTTTATCTTAGATACTTATTTATATTCCAGTTTTCTATATCTTTATGATCACAGTACAATAGCATAAAGTGGAAATGACGCGAAACCATTAAAAATATTGCAAAATAACACATTAGATTCTTGTCGAAAGTAAGATCTGTAAAAATGCTGTTATGACCTAAATTTTGCTGATTTATAATTCGCAACAAAAATACAAATATTATTTATTGTCAGATTTAACTGAAAGCCACAAGTTCATATTCAGATAATGCGCAATTTATGTCTAAAATTTCCTTATTTGTACCGTAATACAGATCTGCTATTGTGTTTAAGAAAAAGTAAAAAAAATAATAATATTACCTCACACAAAACATTGAGTATTTATTTTCTAATACTGTAATAAATGTAAGTAAAATAAAACACGTATGACTCAGATTCTGTCACGTGTCTGTGACCATTCAAGTGTCCAAGATACAGGATTTCTATTTTTCTAGCCTAATCCACAGCACTTTGCTTGCGTCATGCTATGACGTCATCAGTTACGGAGTTCTACTTGGAATTAACTGACGTGATTTTGTAGTAAAACTATTTCTAAATATAGTAAGAGTGCAAGAACATTGAATGAAATGAACAAAATATATTACTTGTCTGTCTCGTAAACTAACTTGTACCTACATGGTTTTCATAACATGTTACATTATGTAATTAATGATTATTATTCTCTACTTCTTGCCTTTTCTCAACTATGTTGAGTTTTGCACTAGGCATTACTTAGTAAAATAATCTTTAAAATGTCATAATATCAATGACATAAACTGCGCAACCTGACTTTGAACCATGCATCATTTAGGTCTTACATTAAACATGTGCATAATACATAACATTTATGTACAACAATGGTTATTCGGCTTGTCGTAATCTAGCCAACCTCTGTGTAAGCTCATCCTGTTCTTGAGATACAACTGTAGACTGCCCCACGGAGGTGCTTGGTACTCCAGATGGCAGCTCCATGTTGAGTTCCAAACTGAAATAGAGATGTATGAAGTCATTAGTAATAAACAAATTAGGGTAGACTTAAAACCTTTAACTTAAAAAATGTGGTTGAAGCTGTATTGTTTTAAGAAAATGGACTACTATTTTCTAATACAGATTCCTCATGTCATGTCTACTTTATTAATTATGGATAGAATATTAAATTAGTCTGGGAACAAAAGCTAACTGCTTACTGCGCTTATTATTGTAAATTAGCACTGCCACTTATGAGGCATTTGATCTGACACAAAAGCTGGGAACATAAACATAGATTATGTGAAATACCATTTCCATTTGGTATTCCATTGTCTCAGCCTACCCCAATAAGAGACAGATGTCAATGTATGTTCATAGTCAACACCCTATTTGAGCCAAGGCACTTCTAAAAATATAACAATGAATATTTAGCAAAACATACCCAGCTTCATCGGCGACTTGCTGCAACAGATTATCAACATCGCCTTGAGGTACTGTAGTGGTTGTGGTCTGTGACATTGCATTCTCCATGTACGAGGACTGGACATCCAGGTCTTCAAACTGGCTCTCAAACTTGTCCATAAGTGTGGAGATCTTCTCGAGGTTCATTGACTTCATTGCTGCATCCATCGCCTTTACAACACCTGCCATGGAGTTTGTAACCTGAAATCAATTTTAATTATGTTTAAACTAACAGATTTTAATTGTGAAGAATTGCTTGTGAAGGTCGATACTGAAAACATAATTATTTTGGTTCAGAGTAGTTTCTAAGTTATGGAGTACATTCATGTTTGTTATATTTCCAACAATTTGACTTTATCTCTTATTATAATTATTTAATTTCTAAACAGTAAGTCTCCATGAATTTAGACAAGAAGTGATTGAATACACAATATTATTGTTGTAACTAACTAATCAAACACAATCAAATCACATTGTACACCTAGTCACTGCATTGAACTTTTGTAAAGTCCCACAATGATTCATAATATAGTAAATAACTAGATATCACTTTATCAACATGAGAATGTCATAAACATTCATCTTATAATATTAATGTTAATGAAATTGTAATCCCAACTCACCTTTCTAGTAGTTAAAGCAGTCTGTACTCTGCTTGACACTGCATCAACCCTTGCTGACATCCTGAGATAGTTGAGGGCCTGATTCTTCTGTCTTATAGCATTCTCTGCATGTATTCTCGCTCCTTCTAAGTTCCCCTTCTGTATTGCTTTCTTTGCTTTCTCCTTCTCAATCTTTTCTTCCTTTTCACATTTTTTAGAATTTCTCTCTAACTCTTTCACAGCAAATTTTAAATTAAATAGGTGTTCTGGTAAGTGTGAGTTAAGGATTTGTATGAGTGTGAATCGTAATTAAATACATTAATTTTATTTCTATTTCTAATTAATAATGTAACAACAATCTATATATATGATAATTTAGATAATATAAGTGCAGAACAATCCCACCTAACATACTAATTCCTCCCAAATTACTATAATTGTTGAAACCTAAATAAAAAATGTTCAGATGTGACAAAAACAACAATAGTATCTATGAATCATCATCATAGTGTACTCACTAGGAACACTTACTTTAGTGTCACTTTATTTTGTTAATTTAAAAGTATTATACACACGCTAGACCCATAATCTCACGACATAAGATTCATGACTAATGGACAATGGTAAAACTGTTACGAAATACAAGGTAAACATTGTAGATACAAGTCAAATTCAATGCCAATGTAGGAAATACCTTCAAGATTATCCATCAGTGATTCAATGTTTCCGATCGATTGTACTTACTATTTAGCTTTAATTTTGTAATTAAAATTTCAACATACAAGGCCTGAAATACTGAAAAAGAATAGAGTAGTGTCAAAACTTTATACTATCAAAAAGGATACTTTCCATAGCGGATGAAGACATTTCGTTCCCCAGCTTGACGGCTTTTATAAAACTTTGAACACAAAAACAACAGGCACAAGGACCTTTTAGCTTAGCACTAAGCACAGGGTTGAATTATAAAATTATTAAGGAGTTGCAAACTCGGATTCCAATTAATTTATTTGGACGATGACTCACAATCACTCGTCAAAACAATTTTGCTCTATCTATCTGTCAAACTACTATCAGTCATTCGATTTCAAGTGTGGCAAGCAGAGAAAACTATTTACAAACAAAAAGTAACAAACAAGTTATCAATTGTTCGGGTAAATTGAACAAGTGCATTTAATTTATATTGCATAATGCCCGATTATTGTACGTACGAATGAAAACAATTTTTAATGGTAGAACAATTAAACTCACTTTTAAAATGTGAATGATATAGTCATACAGGAAATGGCTAGAATTTTAAGATTGTCTATGACTGTAATTTTCGTAGGTTGGTACACATGATTATAACAACAAAATGTCAAAATAAAATTGAATTGAGTGAAAAGTGTTCGCTGCTAGATTTTATTTGGAAGTGAGAGAATCGGAGAGCGTCAAATAATCTTTAATATTTGTAAAAATCCTTCAAGAAAATAATTTAGAAATATCTATTTTAAAATTGTAGTGCTTCCTTTCTTTAAGTTTTAATATTATTTCGATTTTTGCTTGTTTCGTGACAAAAGCAGAAATTCCAAACATAGTCTCGGATAGGTAGAGGACATTCGCTGGGCGTAAAAAGAAAATGGCGTGTGCTACTCTCAAAAGAAATTTGGACTGGGAGTCCATGGCGCAAATGCCTGCAAAGAGGCGAAGGTGCTCACCATTTGCAGCCAGCAGTTCAAGCACAAGCCCTGGAGTAAAAGTTTCCGAAAGCAGACAATCGTCATTTGGAGAATCCGTTATTGCACCTGCGAAACTGACCCCAGGTTTGTTTATTTTTTTTATTATGGCTTCAAGAATGCGATGACGACTTGCTACGTTAGTAGTTTGGATAAAATAATATTGTATGTTAAATTATTTGTATATTTAATCAGCTGTATTATCTAACGCCATTGTTTCCACTGCATCATGAATATTTTTATCGTGTTAGAGCGAGATGAGTGATGCATGAAGACCGTTGCGTGGATTTTTTCATGTCCTTTTGTTGGTTTTTGTGTTGAATCCCATCTCAAATGTCTTTGTGGTATTAAATTGTTGGTCGGTTTTTGCTGAAACCCGAGTTTTTACGTGTTTCGTACGATTCTTCTGAGTCAGATGATGCATATTCAGCTGAAATATGGACCGTACTTATTACACGCAGTATTGCCTGCGTTTCAGCATATTACTAATTAACTGGATGACTGGACATTTTGTAACAAAGCTATTAAATGCTTATGTGAGCTGATTTATTTACAACTTGACAGTTTATAACTCGATTATTCCTAATTCCTAATCATCAAAATATAATAAAGACTAACTTCTATGTGTGGTATATGTATCATAAACACGTAGCTTGAAGGTTATACTGTATGTAGGAATGTAAATAACGAGAAAATATATGAACAGCTGGGTACTTCATAAGCATGACTTTAAAATACTATCTTTGTAGTTTACAATAGGACTCTATGTACCTACTCTGTAAAGTGTCACATTATATTATTTATTGCAGTTATTTAAAAATATATAATTAATTTCGTAACTAATCATGGAACCAAAAAGGAATTATGATTAAAATCTAAGTCATCACTTTATGTTGCAATCATCATGATTTATAAAAAAACCTTGCCTTCATTCGAAACTTAAAGGTCATGCAATTTATGGACAAATACAATTTGTAGTACTCATATTTAATAGTCATCACTTAAATGACAGGAAAAATACCATCCAACATGTAATAAAATACCATCAGTTTTTATGATTGGATCTCTATGCCCTTAACCTTTTTTTTACGTTCAAAAGTGGAATTATGTATTTGCTACCTGAGGCCAATTTCAGTCATGGTCCATGAACATAAACCTTTGTCATATCTGTGAATAAGTTACCTTAGAATGCAGTATGCTGTATTCATACTCTTTGCAACCTTTAGGCAATCTTTATTTTGTGCCATGAAATCGGATAAAGTAAAAAAGCAGGTTTTTTTTCTAGTTTAGTGGAAATTTTATAGTCACTGAATAGGTTAAGGTATAGAAATTGCTACTTTCTTTCGCAATATTTATTTCACGGTTATTGATCATCATTTAGCTTCATGAAGACTTAAAAAGTCATGACTGAATAATTTCTTAGTAAAATTGCTGATTTATTGTTACATTTACTTGACATGCATATTTCCAATTTACTCTGTTATATAAAATTGTAGAATTAATGCATTAATTAAAAAACTGATGAAATGAAATGTTTAATCACTGAAGAATGTTATAATATATGTTAGATGGTATATTAATAAGTACCAAGTTTTGGCCAAATTATGCTTAATTAAAAACCAATTAAATAAACGTGATATTATCTAGTACTTAGAAACTACTACTGAACATTTCTGAAATAATAATCTTATTTACAAACTCAGACTGAAGACCAGCATTCTATGTTTAACGGGAATGATCATTAACCAAAGAACTATTTTTGTACATGTGTGCATTTTTGTGTGCCTGTGTCATTTTACAACTGGTTAGTTATTGGTTGTTAATTTTGACACCTTGATTAGTTGATACATGACTAAACTAAGACATTCCTGTAACAGCCATTTGTATAAAGTCAAATGTTTTGGCAACCTAACACCTACTGTATTGTTTATAACATGTCTCAATTAATAAAGAATAATTTATTGCTACTCTTCCACTAAATCATTTGTTAAAGACACTGAGAAAACAATTTAGAGAAATGGTGTGCATTGAACATTTTAAACCACCATTATTGTTTTAAAATTAAAACTTGAACAGGTTATCTATTATAGAAGAGTATCAATCTCATTTGCTAGTCTGTTAATTTTATTACATTTAAAATTTTGTACTTATGAAATTCTCTGTTTAAATCACTTCAAAAGAGACTCATTCTAAAAGAGAAATTCCACTTTTAATTGAATAAATTATGTTGGATCTTCAGAACGTATGGCACAAGAGATATGTGATGAGATCAAGCGTCTCCATCGCCGTCGTCAACTGCGGCTGACAAACGCAGCGGCGTCCTGCTCATCTTCAAGTGGCTCTGAAGGCGACTGCTCGCCTCCTCATCGCTCCTCACACAACACACAGAAGGTGCACCACCGTGCACTCTTTACTTTCAAACAAGTGAGTATATTGATTGGTAATTAAATAGATAGTGTAAAATGTGTAAATCTTTCTTTCAACTTATTTCAATGTCAATTTTATTGTTACTGATAAAGATGATTAGTCACGAGCAAATCTCTATGTGTTCTTGAAGTAGAGAAGTAACTTATTGTTAAAATTGTTCTATCAGTTGAGTCCTCAGGATTTTTGGGTCTGTAAACAAATATTAGAATTCACACCAATGTCTACACTCAACTGTGTAGTAAATTAAGCCAATATGGTGGTATCAATGTCTAAATGAAATGAAACATGGCTGCCACTCTGACCCTCACATTTAAATACCATATCAAATTTACCTCCTAACATTACCTTGTTCTCTCTAATGAACAATTTAATGTCTGTTTCCATCAAACCCTCGTTATATTACATTTAAATTGCTATTTAATTCAAGCTTAGAATTGATTGTGAAAACATTAAATATTTTGTAAAACTGCTTCTATTTCTATGATTTGTAAATTTTCCGTAACAATAGGTATTGTGTCTAGACTTGGTAGTTTATTTTCGTAATTTGGCAAGTTAACAGCCCTTCCGTGAGTTAGAAATATAAGTCAGACAAAAACCTCTTTAAATGTAAGACAACTAAATTTTAGTTTTCCTTAGCTATTTGTCTTTACTTGTGGTCTTTCAAAAAATAGAGAAACCCTTGAAATACAATTTCTGTTATAGTTTCTTCACCATTATAGTTAGCTATGCAATAGTTTTATTGTAATTTAACATTTTATTATGTCACAGGTGCGTATGATCTGCGAGCGGATGTTGCGTGAGCAGGAGGTCGCTCTCCGCTCGGAGTACGAGTCTGCACTTAGCACCAAGCTTGCTGAACAGTACGAGGCTTTCGTACGCTTCAATCTTGATCAGGTAACACTTTTAAACGATTCCATATGCGTTTAATGCTTCTACAATCGTAAAAAACAATAAATATTTCATCTGAAAATCTTTTTAAAAACTATTGAGATTAATATGGTAACTGAGATATAATATACCTTCACATCTTATTAAGTTTTTCAATAGTACATTTGTTTACAAAAAAGAACTGCAGCACTGAGTAAAATCATTTAACTTCCTTCACTCTGTGTATGCCAGGAAAAGGGATTACAATAATTGATTGAATAAATCATTTTCAAGATCACTTCTACAAGGAAATATATAATGAATAAATTAATAATAAAAATACACAAGTCACTTTGACTTATCAAAAGGTCCTAAAAATCATTATGAAATGAAAACAATTAGCATATCAACTTATTTAACGACAAAATAATCACCGCTAAGATAAAAATTATCAATTTATTTCTAACGTTTTTATATTTGAAACCATATCAATGACCAATGGCGTCTGACGATAACAGGCTGCTTTCACACGCTCTCCTTATCAAGTTAAATAGACCGCAAGAATTGGATTCTATACAAATAAATGCTCAAGTTAGCATTGTATTGTAATTATAAAAGTTCTAATTTAGTTTCTTTGTTTCTGATTCACATTCAAATACGTAGTCTGAGGATAAATCATATTATTATATTTTCAATCACTTAAAAATATGTTCAAAACATTTCATCAGAAACAATTAAATCGAAACATGATATTAAATTTGATTTAACATCAGATATTTTATTAATTAGGTAATTACATTTTGTTATATCAATTAATGTATTGAGTCATCACTAGAAAACAATAGTACTGATTTGATGTAAAATTTTCAGAATCCTATAGCAACGCAATCATTATGTGATCCTAAAACAATATAATATTAACACATGTGACATTTGTGTGACAGGTGCAGCGCCGACCCCCGCCCGCGACCTGCATGCCGCTCGGCATGGACGCCGAGCACCACATGCATCAGGACCTCGTCCCCAGCTGTGAGTTGACATACATGCTATTTATTAATGACATGTTTTTTAATGATGAGTATTAGACATGTTGACACAACTTTTTTAGAACTTTTTCACTTTTTCTTGTTTGCATGAGTCTTAATGTTTCTAAGAAAGGGTGGAGCTTCTGTAAATTATAATTGAATCATTATGTCTTTTGTTCCTACCCAGTAATAATAAAAATGTGTTTTTTTGTTTTCAGATCTGTCCTAATGACCATGAAGTTTGGTGTGCGGTATAATACTGCAACTATATCAAGACAAACATATTTTGGTATATGTGAATATTATATTATGCGGGAGTAAAGTATCCTAATGAATCAAGACATTGTGATTGCTGGTGGAATTTGACACTGGCTAATATTGCCAAACATTTTCGTTTAGTACAGTATTAATGTACATCCATATAATACAATTTATTTACCCACCAGTTATATTTTTGTTTTCAGTTCAAAGTCCAATGTCCAATAGCCTTTTAGACTTAGCAATAAATAGAGCCTTTGCAATATTGCCGGTGTGAGATTCCACAGTTTAGTTCATGCCACATACACATAATTAGCTTTTAATGCTTTAGGTAAGGTACGCTGGATTATTGTGTTCATAGACTGAGGATCGATGAAGCCGAGTCGGACTACTTGTAGCCAGGCACGACATAAATTAGCTCTGGCAGTGTTTGAATTAACAAAACGGTTTTGTTAACAGAATTATGTCTTTACAGCAGACACGGATGTCAGGTATACACTTGTATTTTGTATATTTTCTAAAGTAACATTATGAAACCTATAGTAATGTTGTAATCTACACAAATATAAATTCACGCAGAGTGCCTCTTATTCATTGTCCTCGAAAGTGCGAATTAGTTAGCCATAATTATTTTTGATTGATGATTATTTTTACTGTACTTTTCTTTGTAGTGTTGTCGAATTATAGTTGTAGTTGGTAAATTATATTTAATTTGATTGTATGTAAAGGGCGGTGCGAATGCCCGCCCTTAGCTCTTATGAGAGATGGCCTCTTGTATCAGACAGTTCGGGATATCTTTAGGACTCTATATTAAAAATGTATTCTTAACTATAATATTACGGCATTTCTAGCCAATATTTAACTACGACAAAACTTATTTCCTCGAAATTAACTCACTGATACATGGCTTTTAGAGAATGATTAATTAGCTTTATTTAAATTTTTAAGTTATTATTTTTTTCTCAATAATGTATGAAGATACGACGTCGGCATCGCAGTCGACGACCGCTGTAACCGAGAGATGCACTCCACGGAACATTATTGGGTTTGTTTTATAATAATTGTTTAGTTGTAACTTTTTATTGAATACAAAAAACGATATTTGTTACCAAGCATTATTCAATAAAAATAGGATAGGACTTTTTTTAAATTGTATTATCAGCTCTTTATTGTAGGTTATTGGCGATTAAGAACTGAAAATAAATTAGCTAAACACAAATGGATTTTTATTTTCTTGTATGTAATGTGTACAACATTACGCCTGAATTTCCCGAAGTGGTTGCAAAGGTGTAACTTACCTCACTTCGTAAGAGTACACTACTATAAAATAGAATCCTAAGAAGTTCTCAAATAAATACCTATGAATTGGATGCTGCAATGCTTTTCTATTGTTGGAAAACAATGATTCATTAAGGCTAGGTGTATGAGAGGGGTAAGGTGACCATACACTGCGGCCCTGGAAAAGAGCAGGAGTTTGAACAGGGTGCTTTTTTAGGCAGTAAGGGCAATCTTATTCTATGTTACGGATGTGATGCTGCCCTAAAACGTAGTGATCAAAGAGTAAATTAAGTATAGGGGAAGTAGTGATTATGTACTTAGACCTGCCCCGCGCAGGAGCCATTTTGTGATTTTCAATCCTTTACAAAAATAGTCTGGTGTGGATGTGCATATTATTCAAAGAAAGAATAAGTCTGGGAAATAACTAATATTCGAAATCAAGGACTACCAGAGTAATGGAACACAAAAAATCAAAGAAAAGTATTAACATATGAATTTCTTTCCAATAAAAAGCATATAGTTTATGATAGTGGCCTTAATTCTTTGTATAAACAAATCCTAGTTTTTAACAAACTCATTTGTTTCAATTATACGAGAAAGGCACTTTTAAACGTTAACAAAAATGTGGAGCTATTTGCTTATTACAAGGTGTATGTTCCTATGGAGAAGAACGAAAGATACCTACTCCCGAGTTCTCTTTTTTAGTTCACGATACAATTCTTTAGTTACATAGTTTTGTGGGTACAGTTGCATGAGAACTATGTAATTTCACTGTTGTGATAATGATCAACATTGTGTCTTAGTCTGAAAGACTTAAAATGAGAGCGCGCTATATTTTCTATCATCCTCATAGGGGTTATGAACCCTTGCCCATTATAGTTAATTTACTTTTTGCCCCTATACTACTTATTATGCTCTTTGCTTATTGTACTCTTTGGATGGGACTACGGAAGCCCCTCATAGACGTAATAAAAGTTTGTATAATATTACGTCCATGATTCCCCTATTTATTATACTCTTTGTAGTATGATATGAAAATAAGCAAAAATCACGCCTTCCACAGGCGATGATGATGAATTAATATCATATTAGTAACTAGACTACTGAAACATTTACATCAAAGTCTGTGCATCAAGTCAGTAATATAATATTAAAATACAAAGTGTACATACAATAAAGAAAATTTAGGTAACTAAATAGCATAAATATTTTCTAAAATTAAAAAGAAATGATGATGACCATAGATCCCCCCCCAGTTCTTTTCACTCATTCCAACTTCCTATTCGGTGCCATGTTTACTAAACGTTGCAACATTGATAGACACTCGGTTCTGTGATTGGTAGGAAACGGCAATAAATAGTAACACGCCAATAAAAATCGTCCAGTTTCAAGACGGCCATGATGGAACGTAAATAATGAATGAATTTCAGGATATTCATTCATTCTTTGAACGATACATTTTGTCATTGTCATATTTATTATTCTAAAGAAAAGAGTATTGAAAATATTTTCATTTAATTTCTCTGTGTCAAGTGGAGCGTTCTTACAAAGCATATAAAATGAGTTTTGACCTAGCGAATAGTGGCCAAGAAAGGGAGGACCGCAAATACTACGATCGCAATAAAGGAGACGACATGCAAATATCCAGAACAGATATGAATATGTTGATAATGAATTATTTGGTAACAGGTAAGGACTATTATTTCAAAATTCTATTAATGTGAGTGTCATTGCTTAAATAATCACCATCGATTATAAATGAGGGTTAATAAAGGTATTAAAATGAGAAGTTGAAAATTATTGCAACAAAGGAAGGAATACCTACAACACGACACGTTCCTTTTTATTTCAAGTGTTTTTTGTAAATAAACTTACGGACGACTGCGCGTGGCGATTGATTTCGACATAATTTTTGGTTTTTTATCCATACGCAGTAACGATAAGGCGAAACAGTGGCTCGGAAAACAATGTTATGATTAGAAGGTCAATAGAATTTTCAGTCTCTCTTTATTTTCTAAATGTATTAAACAACGATATCGTGCTGGCCACTAAAATATTTGAATAAAAATATCAATGAGTATTTATTGTACTGATCATCTTATCTTTTGGGTGAACCATTATGATAAACTTTGGTTTTTCAGATCTCACCTCTCACCTTAAAGATATCAAAACTTATATTACTATTTCGAAATTAAGTAAGATAATAAGTAAGGAAAGTAAATGCATCTACAGAAACTTATTATTTACTTACAAAGTACTACATATAATGCTATTTGTTTACTCAGTAATACAAAATATTTTTGTGTACACCAAATGGAAGATAATGTTTCATACGACGGATTTACAACCATTTGGCAATCTGTACCAGTCTGCCTTAGCTTTACGAATATTTTTAAACATCATCATCAATCATCAACAGCATACAAGTGCCCACTGCTGAGCAAACCCTCTTCTCACACTGAGAAGGTTTGAGCATTAATCACCACACTTGCTCACTGAGGGTTGGCGATTACAAACTTATAATTAGAAATTATAAACCCAGGTTTTGTCACATTTTCCTTCACTGTTTGTCAGTGGTGTCTAGATAATCTTAGAAAGAACATATAACTCGGAAAAAGTCACATTAGTACTTGCCGTTGGTAGGTTTCGAACCCGCACCCTTATGAGAAGCGGGCGTCGTATGCCTCCAGGCCACCACAACACACTATTTTTAAACAATTACTTTGAATTAAATTAAATAGTTAAACTTCTAATCATGTACTAAATTATGCATTTTAGAGGGATTCAAAGAGGCTGCCATTAAATTTCAACAAGAGGCTGGGCTACAGGAACCTGCTCTGTGCAGCTCTCTGGATGAAAGAATCATGATCCGTGAAGCAGTTCAAACTGGTCGCATCCCTGATGCTATCGCAATGGTGAACGCTCTACACCCAGAACTGTTGGATAATGACAGATATTTGTACTTCCATTTACAGGTAAATGTATAAACATTATATTACTCTATGATTTACATACTACACTCAATTGTGTCCTGGTAGTAGTAGTAGTAGTAGTAGGTGGTCAAGTATTATTGGGTTTTTTACCTAACGGGTAACCGGGGCTCCGGCTCGACGTGCAGGAGAAGGAACGGGGTGGTTTTTAGTCAGTAAGAGTCTAACACTCCCTCCCGCCTCACC